TCTAATATAGACTTAGAGGCTAATAAAGCTATTAAAATAAATAAGACCCCTATTTACAAACATTACAAAAAGAAGGGACATTTAGAGAGTAAATGCTTTATTAAATACCCTGAATTACGTCCTAACAACAACAATAAAGGGACGAATTCAAAGAAGTCTAAACAAAAGGACTCTAACAAAAGGGGTAACGGTAGCACAAACAACAAAACGGAGGCTACTAAAGCAATTATGAGTGCTTTTAGTATTGATCAATGTGAAATAGACGTAGATACAGAAATTGATCATAATACAGCTTATTTCACTTACTCTTACCGTAACAAGCTTGTATTAGACTCTAGTACTACCGAGCATTATACTCCTAATAAAGACTAGCTTCTTGATTATAAGGACGTCTCTAATAAGTCTATTTTAATCGCAAACAGTGACAAAGTGCCTATTAAAGGAATAGGCAATATACCTGTCTTAATAGGTAACAAAGAGGTATTAATAACAAACGTTAGTTACATACCTTTTATTAAGACTACCCTTATTAGCCCGAAAGAATTAACTAAAAAGGGATGGTTAGTTCTTTTTAAAGACGACAAGGCGATTGTGTCTAACAAAGCCTGTAACTTGCGTTTTAAGGCTAGTTAGATTTATAACACATATTACATAAATAGCGTTCAAATCAACTACAACTTATTAGAACCTGTCGTCTATAAAGTAGATCCTATTATTAACAACAGTCACAATGTAATAGACTTATATTACAAAAGACTGTTACATATTAATAAGGACTACTTAATGAAAACAATTAATGTTACATCCAGGCTAAAAAGAGTCACTAGTTCTAAAGAACTTAGTAACTGTGATTCATGCTATTACGGCAAATTTAATGAAATAGTCAGTAGAAAGCCACTAGATAGCGGTTCTATTCTGACTATATTTGATGTCGATATAGTAGGGCCATTTAATATTCCTGGCCTTAAAGGGGAACGGTATTTCGTCACTATTACATGTAGGGCAAGTAGGGCTATTTGGATATACCCTATAAAGTTTAAGTCTGATGTTTTTGATATATTAGTTGAGTTCTGTAATCGAATAGAAACTTAATTTAATATATTAATTAAGGTCTTTAGAATAGACAACGTAAAAGAGCTTACTAGCTCTAAATGGGACGCGTTCTGTAAGAAAAAGGGCATTATGTGCGAACCTACAAGCCCTGATACGCCTGCCTAAAACGGTATATCTAAAAGACTTAATAGATATGTAATTAAACGTCTTATTAGTCTTTGTAAAGAAAAACATATACCGTTAAAACTATGGCCTTACCTTATACAATCAATAGCACACATCAAAAACCGGACTTATAACTCTATAATTAAGTCGACTCCTTATGAATATATTACACAGAAAAAGCCGAATATTTTATATTTACGAATATTAGGATCCTTAACTTACGTCCTTATCCCTAAGTCAAGACGTAAGGGTAAATTAGCTGATAAAGCTAATAAAGGGATCTTAATAGGCTTTAACTCGTCTAACAACTTCTTAGTTTACGTTCCTAGTCAAAACAGAGTTATTAACTCTCGGAACGTAGCCATTAAAGAAGAGTTAGAATATAAGGACGACTTTATTATAGAAGAGGACTATTCTAATTTAATAGAGAATCAAAAATACGATAACTTAACGAATAGTACCTCTAATACGAATTCAGAAGACACTACGTCTAATTTAGAAGACATAGACGAATTAAGTGCTGAATTCTATAAAGGCCTTACAACAAGAAGCCGTGCTAGTAGAACACCTACTAGTAACATGTCCCTATATAGCCTAGCTTCTATAGCTTTCTTATCCTCTTTAAATAAGGGGGCTCGCATTAACGATAATTCAAAT